GAGCCGCAGTGTATCCAATGTCAGCTTTCACTGCATTGCGGATACCTAGTAAGACGAGTGGAAGAGCGTCGGTCCATTGTGAAACGTTTGCAGCTGATAGCGAAGCTTTCAGTTGTCGGTGAAAACGTTCTACCAACCCGTTTGCTTGTGGATGGTAGGCGGTCGTTCGGAAGCGAGTGATTCCTAAAAGTGTGGTCAGACGACGGAAAAGATCAGATTCAAACTGACGTCCGCGGTCTGTAGTGATGGTTGAAGGGCAACCGAAGTTTGCTACCCATCGTTCGACGAATGTGCGGGCCACTGTTTCAGCAGTGATGTCCTTGATAGGTACTGCTTCTGGCCATCGAGTGAAACGGTCTACGCAGGTTAAGAGATAAGAGTATCCATTTGAATCTGGTAAAGGTCCTACCAAATCCAGATGAACATGGTCGAAACGAGCATCGGGAGTTTTAAACGAGCCTAAGGGACATTTATTGTGTCTGATAACCTTAGATTTTTGGCAGCTTACACAGGAGCGTGCCCACTCCCTCACGTCTTTATTCATGCCAGGCCAGCAAAATCGTTCTGCTATAAGCTTGATGGTTGCACGAACACCTGGATGAGAAAGTTTGTGCAATGTATTGAAGACATTGCGTCGATAATGTTTCGGCACGATTGGGCGATCCCTACCTGTAGATGTGTCACAAAGTAAGGTTTCCTTACCTGTTCCCATCTGTTTGATGCGTAGTTTAAGTGTTGTGGACGATAACTCGTGCTGAAGATCACTGTCTTCTTTTTGAAGCTCGGCGAGTTTAAGAAGGTCGATTCCTTGGAAACTGTTCAAGGAAGTTATGCGAGATAAAGCGTCTGCAACTACATTGTTTGCTCCAGAAATGTGTTGAATATCTGAAGTAAACTGCGAAATGTAGTCCAGTTGTCGAGACTCACGGGGAGAGTACTTGTCAGAAGGAGAGCTTAACGAGAAAGTGAGCGGTTTATGGTCCGTGAAAAGAGTGAATTCACGGCCTTCGATATAGTGTTGGAAATGCCGTACAGCACAATACATAGCTAGGAGTTCCCTACCGAATGTGCTGTACCTCGATTCGGTGTCTAGCAACCTTCTAGAGAAAAATGCCAAGGGTTGCCAGGAGTTGTTAACCCATTGTTGTAAGACTCCTCCGATTGCCGAGTCGGATGCGTCTACTGCGATGCTAATGGGTGCTCGGGTGTCCTGATGTGCGAGCATTGTTGCTTTAGCGATCAGTTCCTTAACTGTGGAGAATGCTTTTCGTGCGGTGTCGTCCAAATTAATGGATTTCGCATTTCCACGAAGTTGGTCGGTCAGAGGTTTCATAAGTAATGCGCATTTCGGTATGAAACGTCTATAGAAACTTACCAGGCCGTTGAACGTGCGTAATTGCTTGACGGTGGTCGGTTCTGGGTAATCCAGAATGGCCGCCACTTTGGTTCTAAGGGGTCGGATACCTTGAGCATCGATAGTGTGTCCCAGAAAGTCTAACGAGTCGGTTCCAAATTGGCATTTCTGAACGTTTACAGTTATGCCATGTTTTTGTAATCGTTCGAAAACAAGGTCCAGATGCTTGAGATGTGTTTCTCTGTCCGGACTTGCGATTAGACAGTCGTCAACATACGCGTGTACGAAGTTGAGACCTCGAAAAACGTCGTCTATGAATCTTTGGAATGTTTGAGCAGCATTCCTTAGACCGAAAGGCATTCGCAAAAATTCATAGAGTCCGAAGGGAGTTATGATAGCTGTTTTCGGTATGTCGTCAGTAGCCATAGGGATTTGGTTATACGCTTTAACCAAGTCGATTTTCGAAAAGACAGTTGTACCTTTCAAGGTAGCTGTCAAATCGTGAATGTGAGGCAACGGGTAACGATCGGGAATGGTTTTCGCGTTCAATCGCCGATAGTCACCAGTTGGACGCCAATCGTTGCTGTCCTTTTTAGGGACCATGTGCAACGGAGATGCATATGGGCTACTTGACGGTCGTATGATTCCTAAGTCCATCATGTGATCGAATTCGTTTTTCGCTAACCTTAGCTTTTCAGGAGCTAGTCGTCGTGCTTTAGAAAATACAGGTGGTCCTGTAGTCGTGATGTGATGTGTAACATTGCTGGTTACACACGGTAGTTTCGGTTGAGTTTGTTGTATCCCAGGGTACTTATCGAGTAGTGGTTGATAGAGTGGGTCTATCATATGTTTAACTGTGACTGGGGATACTCTACAACCAGTAAAAGAAGTTACGCAAACGGACAAATTAGTGTTTCCGTCTACTAGCCTCCGTTTGCGAGTGTCGATGATCAGATTGTGGTGTTGTAGAAGGTCCATACCAATGATTGGCATAGAAACATCTGCAACGACGAAAATCCAGTGGATGGGTTTGCGTAAACCCACGTTAAGGTAAACGTACCTTTTGCCATACGTAGCGATCGGTTTTCCGTTTGCCGCCTGTAAGTTTAGAGTCGATTCGTGAAGTCGGTCGTTAGGATTTGCTGGGAGAACGCTAACTTCTGCGCCAGTGTCGACGAGGTAGCGAACTCTCGTTGTCACATCTGTGACGAATAACAGACGGCTTTGTTCGCCGGCTACGGTTGCCGTTAACGCGTGCCGGCTTGGAAGTTTCCCGAATTGTTTTTCGAGTCAGTCGGTTTCGTGTTGGGAAAATTGCAGGGTTTTCTGCAATTTCTGGAAAACTTTCCATACTGGTTATGATACCAGCACCAGTCGGGGTTATCTGTCTCTCGTGGTCTAGAGACAGATCGCTTACGAGAAATGCTTCTACGTGGTGTGTGTGAGCGATTACGGTCGGTACGAAGACTAAGATAACGCGTGAGTGTGTGACATAAGTCGGTTATGTCATTCTGAGTCGTGTGAGGCTTTTCTTTGACTGAAAATACCTCGGTAGTAGAAGGTTTCGTAATTTCTAGAATGCGGTCGGCAGATGCAGCTAGCTCGTCTAAGGCGTTGTTCTGGAACGAGACCAGAACTGCTTGCACCTGTTGGGGAAGTTTTGACAAGAAGAGTTGTTTGAATAGACCTTCGTCGAAAGTTCTTGGGCCTATAACCTCTCTCATCCGTTGCAACATGTCCGTCGCAGAACCGTGTTGCAGGTCGATGTTATTGAAGAGTTGATCTAACCTTTGTCGATCGGTTAGGTCTCCTCGTTTAAGAATCGAGCGTTTTAAGATTTCGTAAGGATCGGAAACATCACTAGTAAACATACTAGGTGTTACGTACCTGTTGAATTTGCGCGGTAGTGCCTTGACTACTGCGAGGAATTGTGCACGTGTGTCGATCACGCCGTGCTCGGAGAAGTCGGCTTCTGCGTAGCAAAACCAGGCTTCGATGTTGTCGGGCCAGAAAGGCATCAGTTGAAACGAAGGTGGGGACAAGGTCTTAAGCTTGAGTACTTTAGGTGTCTGTTCAGTCATGATGAAATATGAAGTACGATAATGAACGAGGGGAAAGTATATATATATCCAAGAAAAATACGAAAAAAATCACAATGTTTAAAATAAAAAAACAAGGCAATGATATATAAAAATCCCAAAAAGGAACAGACTCACAGTTGCAATAAGGTGTACCAGATCACGACGGTCTCACCAATGATGATGTCACAGGTATTCAGTGTTTGACAACGCTTCTACCAGTAACACCTTCTAATATATCTCGTTCCCACCCAGAGAAATCAAAAGACAGAGTCGAGGAGATCGGAAGAGTGTATTTGGCGATGACCAATATATCGGAATTCTCTGATCTAATCTGGCTAGCGATTGCGGTTGATGTTGAGCACGGCGTTACCATACGTGATCTGGTGCGGATGCCTGACCGAGCGCCTTCAGCTAGATGAGTCCACTAAAACATATGGTCAGCATCCAATGTCGAAAACTTACAGGGCTATTTATTTTGGGGATTTATTTACCGCTACAAGACAAAGGCTGATTGTGGGATTATATTGCTACACTGCTCTGCAGCTACGGCGGTCACTACTTCTCTGACAACAACTGAACTGTAGTTCTCATAGTCAGTGGTCGTTAACTGATACTTTTTATCAAACTCAGTCTTTAACTTCTTTGACCTTCTGTAAAAGGTTGATTTGGGACAGCCCATCAATTTTAATTCTCTACTAGCTTTAGCCCATCTTTTAGCACTTTCATTAAGCCCTAAATTATTAGTCTAAGAGAAACAACTAACTGCAGTCAGATTGAGCGAAATAATTAATCGAAATTTTGGACAGTACAAATAACCCATCTGCATGATGTGAGAATTTTGAAAAAGTGGTTAAAAGCCGATAACGCACTGTTTCGTAACTGTTTGACGTACTAAAACAAAACCTCAAGATCGTCAGTGTATTCGTGACCAAAGTTCATGATAGTATTAAAGATAATACTTATTAATTGTGACTTCATCTTCAGAGCATTAAAAATGCACTGGTGATGAAATGTTTGTCGGGAAAACTGCGCAACACAGATTTTGAGGGTTTTCCCCAAAATTTCCCCAAAACTTGGGAGATTGGGCATTCTGTGATCTGGTGGTAATGTTTGACTAGACACATTCAGCTAGTAGTCTACCTTAAATCTAAGAAAAGTAGCATCGATGCAGAGAATTAATTGAGTTATTTATGGTTACTGTGGTTTTTGAATCCAGGTGTGTGACATTTCCGCATGACCAAGAAAGTTCGGTGACTGTTGTACGGTCACTAGACGATCGCTATGCAATCGAAACATCTGGGGTGATTACGTAGGAGTTAACCTTAACTCCTGGACGTTTGTAGAGAGACATCGAAATTGTTTGGAAGGAGAAGGTTAGGAAAAAAGAACGGCAAGTATATAGGTCGTGGAAATAAAGATAATAGCGCAATAACTATTTATGCCACTCCTTCACACAATGTCATACGTTTCGAACCCAAAATACAATCCCAAACGATTATTTTCCACTAACAACAAGAGTGAGCTACTTTACTTAGGTTATCATCGCTTGTGTCATCTTGTTTAAGTACACTTTGTAATCTCCGCTAATTACAAAATATATCCTGAGTGATGGTCAGTTGCTTTCTTAACCTTACTCCTCGTATTTTAAGGCTCGTAGGTATGACACAAGGACGACGATTTTCTCTCCTGAAGGTAAGTTGTCACATTAAATGGCAATATAAGTTCTGTTTAAGGACGTTTGTACCAAGTGGAGTATGCAATGGAAGCGGTGGGACATGCAGGCACATGTTTAGGGGTCGTAGCAAAAGATGGAATAGTCCTGGCCGCTGAAAAACGCTTCATAAATAACCTTTTAGACGAAACGGTTTTTTCCGAGAAGATCTATAAGATCAATGACGACATAGCCTGCGCCGTTGCTGGTATAACGGCTGATGCTACGGTTCTCATAAATGAGATGCGACTTATTGCTCAACGGTATGAAATCTTTCATGTATTTATGTATATCTATTCTTAACCGGAGGTTTTTACAAGCCTGGAGTTTGAGCGGTATCGTAACCAAGTTTTCTGTATATCCATGTTTCGGTAAAAAACATAAGTTACACAGCACTTGATTTGGTCCAGCTTTCATTTTAATCACCCTGTAGCTAAGTAGTGATGTGAGATACATGCTGTAGACATATTCTAGTGCTCTTCTACCATTATTACAGGCTTCCTGATATATACACTTTTCTATACAGAATAACTCTCCCCATGATCTATGTATATTACTTTCAGTGTGAGTGGCGTATAGTTCGGTTGTTGTTCGTGTATGAGTTGTGTTTGCTGACTATTTACAAACAAATGTTGTCTATAATTTTTTATGGTCTATGAATTACTGTTCAACATAATTTTGTTACCGTATACACATGTTCTGTCTCTTAATGACTATAAGAAGAGGGGAGGTTGCTTTCGACACCAAACAAACTATAGAAAAATCACTGCATCAGCTTCTAAGTATGTGTAGCTCAATTCCGAAGGCTTGGGGTTGGTGTAGTAAATAAACTAGACGTCCGCTCTAAATTTCGAACTGTAGTATGACTTGAAAGTTCTATAGGTGCCAAAATTGTTAGCGGATCATATTCACAGTACTAACTGTAGTTCTATAAACTGAGCTTTTTATGTCATCACTCACTTAATTGGCTTTTGAGGGTCGATAGACCCAATAAATCCTAAGTTTGGTCGTTTTCCACTTTTTGGTTGTCTATCATAGTTTCGAGAGAGCTGATGACCTTTTGTGGGATATTTTAGTTATTGTATCCTAGTGCTGGTTATGTGGATAAACCAAACGATCTAACACACCACCTGCCCTAGTGGTTAAAACAAAATCCTATATTTTCTTATGTGGGAGATATTTAGTAATTAAAAATTATAACTGTCAAACTCATGAAGTGGGTTCGAGCCCACCTAAATATGTCTTAGCGAATCTTTGAGGTTAGCTCAAATATATACGGAAGAACTTAGCACTTTTTTTTATTCAAGTCAGTCGACGTGAATCGTACATAGGCTTTCCACAATTCTGTATACTACAATTCGTTTGTTGTGACCTACTATGAATCGTTGATAACTTCATCTTTAGAAATCGAGTACACGGTCAATGCGCTGTTCTCAGTCAGCATGACTCATTTCCGTTGCGCGTAAATATTCAAAATCTCAGAATGTTGTATATTTAGTAAAAACGGATTTTTACTCAGATTGACGTGTGCGAATAGGAGGAAAATAACGGAGGCTACTACATTTGGAAAGTCCACAACTTGTAATCCCAGCTACTTCAAAGTGGCAGTTTTCACAACATTTAACCATGTGTATATTCACAGAGAGCATAAAGCTACACGGTAAATAAGTATGGGTTTGGCTACATCAGGGTCCTAACTAAATTACTAGCAAAGACTGAGCGGACTTACCAACACTAGCCCCATCTTCCACTATATCACGAAAAACCAACTTATAATACTTCGAATCCATGAAGCCTAGGGTAGCAATATAAAAGGTTAACGCTGAAGTTACTGCATGTCTGTTACTGTTGGGTCAAGTCTGTTGCTGTACTATTAACTTATGCAATCTCTTGCATATGTCATCTTCGAGTACTTTCTTCACATAGTACAAGTCGGTGCAACTGTTCTGTGGAAGTAGACTGATTATTTTCATCTACGCAGATAAAGCATTGGAAGCTTCTATCTGAAGTTTGTGCTGATGTCGTTCAGAAGAACGATGAAAGCTCCACGACCAAACCATCCAGCTCAGAGAACAAAACTCCACCAAAATCATCCACCTGAGCTACAAATCTTCACCATCTCATTGGAAGCTAAAGCTGATTCTTATTATTCAAGTCTTACCTTATAGGTTTAAATAGTTAAATCCATTATTGTGTACCTTGAATTAGTAGTGAGCTAGTTACCTATATTATTGATACACATTAAACAGTATACTTAAAGACTGTTCGCTCATCCCAAATAGTAGATAAAGACTAAATTCTTTCACTCAAAGCGACTGTAAATAATATTATCCTAGGTTAAAGTTACTTGCGGTAGCCACCGTTTGACGGAAGAATATCGTCCTTAACTTCTCGTATCTTCATTGTAGATATTTCTTGTCTTATCAAGAGCCTATGCCAGTAGAACAACTTGTGTGCCACATATGCGATCTTCAACATGGTTATACTATGTATGGTGGTAGAAGACCCTTTGGTGTTTCCATGTTGTTCATAGGATGGGATAAGCGTTATGGTTACCAACTATACCAGACGGATCCATCGGGGAATTTTCTGGGATGGAATGCTACATGTATTGGGTCAAATTCAACTGCAGCCGGCTCCATATTGGAACAGGATTACAATGCAGATGCAACAGTCGAAGAAGCCACAAAGTTGTGTGTAAAAGTCCTGTATAAAACAATGACAATGTCTAAACTAACTTCGGAAAAGGTAAGTCCTTTTTCAGTAAAGATTCTTAATTCCTCTATCTGGGAATGTGACATTGTTTTTTTTTATTTAAGGTTGAAATCGGAGTTCTACAAAGACGTAATGACAAACCTACGTTCGTCTTATCAATCAAAGTGAGGTCGATACTCTGATAAAAACAGTTGAAGGAGAAGAAACTCAGAAGAAGTAATACTTGTGTACAGTCATTTCTACGCTTTATAAAACTTTTTGAGAGCAATATGTTATTCTTTATTATTTGTTTGATGATAACAAATTTGTTGGATTATTTTACCACATCTAAAGCGTAAACATTATAAAATGGATACATGTTGATACTCGATTTTTATCAGTCTAGAAATTATTTCGTATCACTATTATTAATCGGAATAGCCTTGAAGAAGAGCTATTCATAATGTTGGAGTGACTTACAAACATGTACAGAACCTTAAGTGGTTGAAATATTGCATTTACTCCCCTGATAAGTAACACGAGTTAGGATCGGTAAATACAGAGTTTCATATGGTAAATCGGCATAACCGACTGTGTTCGGATCGGATAGTTGCTCTAACAGAGTCCTCATTTTTAGATAATCTACTCTTGGACACTAGTCAATAAAAGTTATCAGTTTTTAACATTCAAGTCGAATAATTCTGGATAAACTGGTGGTTTTACTTCCACTAGAAGTTAACGTATCAAGAACAGCTTCATAAATCATATTAAATTGTAATAAACATGCATAAAAAAACACATCATTCAACATTAGAAAGAAAAGTAACGTTTTAAAACAACAAAACTGTCTAAATTAGAAATGGTTTTAATAAAATAATAGGCATAAAGTTTGGAATTAGGCGAAATTAAATGGCTCTAACGTTTGTACTGGATTTGGACTTGCGAAATTTTCTGACCGATGGATAATATTACAACGGAACCCTTCGGCGAATAAGTAGCTTTTCACATAAACTGACAACTTTATGGAACTTACTGATTGGTAAAGTTGAGGATAGGTTCTCTTCTGACTTCAAGCAGTTCTATATTTAAAATAGGTAAGAAATATTCATAAACACAGATATTAAATTTCTTCCTAGAAAAACGACTGTTGAAATATGAAGACGAGAAAGTAAGTGCTTAAGGCAACTAACAGGTCGCTTTTACAACAAATCTCACTAGCTTTTAAGCAGCATTTTATTTGTCACACCGATCGCAGCAGACATCTTGATGTGGTAATTGTATTTACACTGACGACCCACTCGAGTTTTGTTGTTAAGAACACTTGTTATCCTCAGCAAACCGGTTCCCGAATGAAAAGACACTGAATACAAGATTCAAGGGCGATCTTACTACAGGGTAGCGAAATTGAGTTATTCTACAAAAACAACCACAACTCTTAGTGACACTGCCTCCCCAAAATAAGAGCAGTTTAAAAGGAATGACGCTGAAAGTAGCACATATCACCTATCTAATGGACTCCCAGTGATGTCTGCAAGGCCTGAAAAATACACAGTAAACAAATGAGGAACTACTCTCTAAGACTTCATGTGACTAGTCTCGAGTTGACAATCCTGGAGTAACAAGATCTTCACTTCTAACCTGGTTCAGTTCCCAGGTCTTCCAAAACCAAATATCTTTTCACAATGTAAACAACCGAAAATTGTCAGTCGCCTGCACATCTGTAACTATTCAAATTAATCCTGCTCATAACCGAATCCTATTATTTCTTTTTTTTCGTTAACAACCATCTCTGGTGTCAAAAGCCACCAATACTAGCAATCCGAGCCCATAGAATATCATTACTAATGTATTTGAACGACACTTCAAACCACATACCAGAGCCTTTAATGTCTATAACTCGAACCGGGCGGCAGGGTTTACTAGCCAAGACTACAAGTCCTGTGGAGATACATGCTGCATCAGAAACCCCCATACAGGGTAATCACAAAGCCAGCACGATACTTTCGCGGATCTGGAGATTCGTTAGAGACTTGTGGTTTAGGAAGTGTGGGTATACCATTGAGTTTGAAAGCAAGTTGGGGACCCTCGAGTGACATTCCACTCGGTGGTCTTTTTTCTGTTGTCCGGTTAAACTAATGAAAATCTAGCAAGAATCAGGACGTTCCTTATTTAAGTTCCCACTGACTACAGACCGAGTCAGTACAGCTATTCACTCCCTTCCAAAAAGCTAAGTACCCAGTTGGTTTAAAATATAAAGTTACTAAATAGCCCAATCTAATTTACCCAGATGTGTGGGAACTTATAAAGAGTTGCGGTTTGGGTCGATGATAGTATGTTTTCTCTACGTCCTTTATTTCACATTTTTATTTAGCTCCCTTTCAAACTTAACATAGTCATTAAATCTTACCTCTAACCTTCTAGGATTTTATTTCCTACCTGAAAATAAACACAACAATGGCTTATTGCTGTATATGCTAATAAGGTATGGGGACTGCTAAACATTTCTAGAACAAATATTGGTTTACCATCAGCTCCCGATCTGCAAATGTTACTTTACGACTACTCATAGTTTTTCAAGGATGTATTGTTTTTCTTCCATAGTCAGTCACGTACATTAAGAAACTAGCAGCTGTTACAAAAAAACGAAGGGAGAAGGAGGCTGGTCGAGGAACTAATTCTTGCTAATTTATTCCGAAAAGCTCAAGGAATAGGTGCTACGAATGCTGATTATTCTTGAGGAATACAATACTCTCGTTATACTTCGATGTAAATGACAATATGATCTTATGATTTTTAACATTAATGTGTACTGGTTTTCTAATGTATTCATATCTAACTAGACTTCTTGACATGATAAGAGTGTAGGGAACAATTGTAGCTTGGCTGATATCATGTACTCTGGTTTTTTATGATCGCTTAAGTGATTTGAATAACATGAAAGTGACTTTAAAGAAAAAGTGAAATTTTGGGACTAGAATTATCAATTGCATTACCAACAAGGATATTTTGACAAGGGAGTGTGATAAATGTTGGACTAGCAATTAGGCTAACTGAAGTAACTCGTCTTCTTTCCTTGAACCAAGACCATGCTTGTCCAAACGAACTATCGTTCCAATCAGATATGAGGGGATTTTCATATAAATGACCTACAAGTGAAAAAATGTAGCGTTGACATCAGTGTCTTTTTAACGTATGAATATGTACAATCTAATAAGTAAATATCACACACATGTATTCATTATTACAACAAGTACGACTAGTAACTTATACATTTACAGTTCTGGACGTATTTATTATTGGGCCATGGCCAAAGAACACATTACGTCGGGAAATGGAAACATATGAAAAAAAGAATGACAACTGGGAAGAGTTGGTCAGGATTGGATGGAGTGCTGGTGGGCGGCTCATGTTCCTCCACAAGGAGTAACAGGCGTAAGTAGTGGTTTATCTGTGTAGTGATGATAGGTTGTATTGAAGAGTCCCAAAGTACTCATCGGGAAAGTCCATAAGGACCCAGAGAACGCTGGGAGACAATTTACCCAATCAGCGTTGAAGCTTGTCAGAAACATTTAGGAAGTGAAGAGTCACGTTTCTGATTGGATAGTTACCTATACTGTTACTGAATTTAGTATGGCTCCAGAAGTCCAAGGTCTTTTGTAATCCTAGAGAAGCCCTCGTTTTTCTGTACATGAACTAAACTTGGAGTAAGACTTTTTTCACATTTGACATTTTTCTCCTATGTTTAAGTTGCGTATAGATTTATTAAAAGCAGCTAGAAATTCGAATCGAACGTTCATTCAGTAGAATTATCAGTTTGGAGTTTAAACGAATGGAAATTCCACATTTTAGTTGGAAAACCCATCATCTCTAGAAGTTACTTATGGTTAACGGAGTTTTTAAGACTTTGAACATTACTACGAAAATAGACCCACTATAAATACATTCTTCCTCCTCTAAGATCACTCTTTGTATTTCTAACAATCACGGTTTTTAATAAACGTACCTAGTAACTGCACATCGAGATCAATTTTCCTATGTATTCCTTATTTGAAGATTGATATTAGGTTACCTTGACCGAATTGAACGGTCACTGCAAACCAAATGCCTAGACTAGTAAGCTATAATTTGGTTTTTACTCAATAAGTGTGGCTTATATGCTAAACTCGGAACAGCATCAGGTTTCTACCAAAAAACGCATCTCGATACCGTGAGTATCAAAAAAAAACATGGCACGAACTGAGAATTTAGCCCCTCTTCTGATAAATTTGGACCAAAAAATATGCGACTAGCAGATTCTTTAAAATTATCAGAACCGGTGGATGTTTATAATTTGATACTGCGCAAAAATAATCACGGCTGGAATACTTCTGGTGCTGTGTCTTAGATCAAAACACCAAACGTTGTGCGTTCGAACCCCAGATAATAACTATATCCACAGCATTCTATAAATAATTTCCACTTAAAGTCAGTCTTATATAATTGAATTATTTAAATGAATTAATCTTTAGTGAAACCAAACAATTTACACTAATGATATGTTTAGTTTAGAATCAAACTATTAAAGGCACTAATATATCAACGAACTAATCAAAATTATCACCTCAAATATTTTTTCTATCAGATAATCTTATTCAGAAATAAAATTATATCCTATCTTTACCTTTGTATAAATCAAAATGTCCAAACTGGTTATTGTTACAGTGATCATCGTCATACATAGTTGGAAGTGACATTATAATATTAGTAGAGTTTTTATGACTTGGTTTATTCGTAGAATTTATAGAAGTATCTTTTGTTCGATGAACATTACCTAAAGACTGTTTCGTCATCACACCTGTAAATGCATTAAGAATTTCTGAGACCTTTGATGGTTTCGATTCCTGATACAAATTTATTGTATTTACAGATCTAAATTTACATTTACGGGTGAATATAGGTGAGAATTCTTGCTGACTGGTTCGCGGACTCGCATATTTACTCCCTACACTATCCTTGAATCGTCGAACAGGACTTGTGTGTAGACTTGCTCCAGCAGATTTAACAGACCAAGGTGATGGGTGCAATGTTGGTATAGCATCTATGTGGATGTTTTGAAGATGCTCAGACTCTTGGTTGTTAGGAATGGTTCTATCTAAATGGGTCCCTGCTAAAAAATCGTAATGGTCAAGATTGGTTGGTTTACATGCCTCCTGAATTAGAAAGGGATAAACAGAAAATATCAAACAAAAGAAATCTAGTCAGTATCAACGTAATTAATTTAAATCGAAAGATATCTATGGTTGGACAAATGTGGTACCAAAACCTATGAAAAAATTAGTTGAATAAACATTTAGGTCAAGCTATACTTTTACCTGATAGTCGTGGAAAGAACGTGAACAATTTCCTCGTCATAACAAATAATCTGACAAGATAACTGTGATAAAGTTGGGGCTTTAAACCTGACTTTGATGCATAATAGTACTGGATGGTTAAGTAGTGAATAGATTTCTACGAGATATGTTGAATTTATCGAACCTATAGTACACTACAGACTGATTCTGTCAACAATTTAGTGTATTAATATGCAGAAGTGCCTGTGTGGAATATTTTACTGTCTGTACTACGTAGTGTTATATCTTCGGAGTATTAAAAATGTTTCTGAATGAAAGCTTATCACTTTTATTAACTGTTTAGATTATAACACATACCAGTTGACAGTAGTTGCACTATTTGATAAAATTGGACAATGTATATTCATGTACGTAACGAGTAATTGAATGAGTAACAATATTGACTAATAATTAAAGATGGATAGTGGCTAGCTGTGAAATCCAGGACGCGCGTTCCGTCCTATCTATGACTCATCAGCTGAGTGTACCTACAACTCTGAGATACAGGTACACCCAGCTGATGAGTCCTAGATAGGACGAGACGCGCGTCCTGGATTCCACTGCTAGTCACTATCCATCTTTGCTTATAATGCTTGTCACTTAAGGCAATGCGCACAGTATTCACATATGCCAATAAGAGACTGATCAATTGCAGTCCTAAACATCAATAGGAAGATTCAAGTAAACAATAGCAAGTTAATTAATATTGGCTAGTGTTTTGAATAATGAAACATGTGTTTGGAAGACTACCTTTATGAAACTACATGCTATTGATGGTTAAAACCATCAACTCAGAAAACATTAACAACTGAGCTCACAAAACAACGCTCAGATCTTGCCACTTATTTTTTTAAACAACGAAGACTAAAATTATTCAGACACATAAAGGTCACTAAATCCTAAGAGCGTTAAACTTGCTGGTTTTAAGCGAGGTGAGACATCTATCAGAAAAATGTATGATGACTATATTTCTATTCACTAACTCGTGTTATGGATAAAAATATTAAACACCGGGTTTCCGTAAGTAATAGTGGCGAGTAAAACTACTAGTCACATTGTGCAGACCACGTAAATTCAACATGCCTTACGTAACGATGCTATAAAACGGAGACTACTTGAGATAAAATATTGGAAATTTGCATTTTGGATAGTAAAAGTTGTAGACTATTACTTTTGAGTATAAATGGTATCATAATTGTAGTTGACAATCTCGTCAATACTGCAGTTCAAATGATTCATTATAGATTATGACAATACAATGTGAAAATAAGACCACAAATCTTTCCTCTATTCAATCATTATTGCACTGATTACATATTTGGCTTTTAAGTAGGAAGTGATACAAGAAATGTTATTTAGTTTGAATCAATGATATGTAAGACAGGAATTAATTCGAAATATAACTCATCAGAAATTACTATTTCTAACATCTATAGCTGTGGATGGACTGGCCAAATCAGATATTCGCGTCCTACCTTATGTTATCGCATCCAATGTGATAATTCTCAACTTTTCCGTACTAAGTTACTGAGCTATAATTAAGTAAATGTAATTAACAGGAATTAGTGTTCGCCATTCGAAATCAATTTCAACCAACGTACCAACGTTATCAGTTCATTTCAATTAAACAATGACTAATTAACTTTCCCGCAAATTTTAAATCATATCAGCTAAGTAGATATAACAATAAATGGAATAACGAAATATACATTTCTGTCATGGTGTTTAAAGAGTAGAATAAAGGTTCAGTATCAATCGTCTTTGCTGATAACTAAGATATCATTGGCTATGCGAGAATCCCAAATACTCAGGCCATTCTTTTCAGAAACGGTGAAATTTCTAAGTAGTTTGATTAAACAGAAAGATATGCCGAAAAAAATTGTCATTTATTTGTTATGCTATGAATGACGAATGAGAATAAAGCTTGGCTAAAAAATTTTCACTCAAAAATATTTCTATTTAAATCTCGATAATGTGGTGCAATTTATGTGAATTAACTGTAGTTACACAATTAGTCAGTCTTTAATTTTATATAAATTCTTTAGTATGAAGATAGATTGTCTACTAGCTTGAAAAATAAAGTATTTTTCATAAGTATTACTTTGTATGGTCTTTTACGTGTACAAATATCGAGCAATTTTCATAAACACAAAGTAATACTTCCAGTGAAAAACCATAGTGTTGTAGTGTCAGTTGCTTTTACAAATCCATATAAACACTCCTGTGCTTATTACCAGCTACCAACATAATTACTGTCGATATATAGGTAGATAGATTTAAACATACTTAGCTGGAATGCATAGAATTTTCTACTAATAAAAATGTGAGCGCCACCTGTTTTATAACCATGTTAAACGTGATGAAGTTGGGTATTGATAAAAAAATTACGTGACGTTCACTTCAATTTATCATCAGGAAAGATATACTGAAGGGAAAATTATGTTTTAAAAAAAAAGTTGTGTAAAGATAACTCTTGTAAATCAACTTCACAACAAAGTCATAACAACATCTTTCACAGTACAACACTCAATATACACATATATTCCTCACTATAACTGGTTGTTCAGTAATTACTTCAGAACGCACTGTTTTATTTATCCAACTTATGTTGTTTAATATCCACTTATCTGAAGATTTATACTCCATTTCCGGTTCTGATGGACAAACAGGTTGACAACATTTTGTGATAAAATTTGTACGGTTCATTTCTTCCGTCTTAGACAAATCCAATGATTGTTGTGTAATATTTTTCATAGGTTTAATTGCTATTTCAGCTGATCCTTTGGCTTGTGGTCCAAGTACCCTCATAAATTGAGTTGATGTATAATCAATATTTGGAGGAGGCGAAGATGAATAATAACTGTTTGACATTCGATTATTTCGATAACCAGAACGATGATTAACAAGATTACCAGTTGAACAAGCTTGCTAACAGTTCAAAATAACATTAACAGAGAACGTAATACGTGAGAGATTTGTTGACAGAATTTGATGAATGGTAAACTATACCAGCAACAGCTGTTTACAAGTGGAGAGTTCAATTCTTTATTGAACGTAAGGACTTTTTATCAACTAGTAAGCTGAATTTCAAGTAAAATCAGTATTCTATTATGTACTCGATTTTTCATCCCAACGGATGATGAAGAAAGATGTAACTTATTTATCAAGTATGAGTTAACTGCGAAGGGAATACGGTCAGGCCTGGGATTTACAGATTGAAAGTCGGAATACTTTAATCGTCTGTCCATTCGAATGCTGATACCTGATCTGTCAAGCTGTTGTTAACCGATTCGGAAATTCTAACCACTCTCTTCTAGACATCCAAGCAATTATTTATTAATTAAAGTTAACCTTGCATTCGTCTACTTAAACAATTAGTGTTTGCACTAACGGGATTGAACACAATTGTGTTTTAAATAATTGATCTCTATTTTAGTTGGTTATCAGCCAATATATGATTACTTGATTTTTTTATTTGGCAAAGATTCATTTACCGCACTATTATGTCGTAAAATGTTGTTCAAAGTATATTAAAGTTATAACCAGTCGATTTCTCCAGGTTTCCATGATAATACTCGGTAAAACAGCCATGATACGATAGTTTAGTATCTCTCAATATACGGATAACCAGCCAGTATCTATTAGTAGAAAAAGTGGATTTACAACAATATAAATAATATAAGAGATTTTTGTCCTCAGATACCATGCAATTAGGCTGAAAACGATTATCGGCATCTTACTGATTTTTTTGCCATAAATAAACTCGCATACACAACTACACTCACCACATGTCGTAAGGCCAACTCGAGGCAAAAGCATCTATCCTACACTTCAAAGAATATTCAACCAGCAAAAAGTGTAAAAGATCAAATTTTCGTTTACTAATGTAAAACATTATGCAAATGAATACGTTAAACAGCTTTGCCTATTTTTTAAAAAGAAGCCCTGATACATTCATTGTTATCAATTATTTACAATCTTAATATACTGTGATAATCTAATAATGTCTTTCTAGCTAGAAATTGTCATCTTTCCATTTTTCTGTGTTAAGAATTGATTTGTTTTAATAAAAACATTTATGAGTTCCGTCAGAAGTGGAAAGGAAATAATATGAACTGAATAAAAGTTTATATACATATTTTAAATATTACCTCTAACATATGCGATATTACAAAAGGTGTTGTTAGTGGTCGATTCACAATATGAATTAAAAGAATTTTATGAATGCTAACTCATGGTGATAAGAATTGGATGGAATTAGAAAAGAAGGCCCAGGACAGAGTGGGTTGGAGAATGCTGGTCGGCGACCTATGCTCCGTTAGGAGTAACAGGCGTAAATAAGTAACTCATGGTGATAAAAAATAAGGTAATGGATTTTCAGAGCTCCATGTTTGCTTTTATGATAATTTGTAAATGGATTACTTTAGTTTAACTTAATTTATAAAGTAATTAAATATGTGTATGTGAAATCCACTAAGCACATCCATATAAATCATGTTAAGAAAAAAGGAATTCTCTAGTCAACATCATCAACTAATCTTAATTAAACAGCCACTGAAAACCAGGAAATACTGGACAACTGTCATATTCTAGTTTGGAACTTCCCAACAGTATGTATTCACAAACCCAGTGCATTTAGGCCTCGTCAACAGCCCTAAACCTTTAGGTTACTGAGCTGCCATCAAATGGTCAACAACTTAGATTATTTAGCGAAATAGTACAACGATCTAATTTCGTTCATTGGTGAGTAACTTGACTCATACGAATTCGAAAAACAAAAACCTTTTTCTATCAATATGTACAGATGCAATTAAAGGCTGTTTGACTTACGGATGAACGGTCATAAAATTGTTTAATGGTATCATAGGAAACAGTGCCAAGAAAGCAAACACCATGTACACGTCCATAACGATCATAAGCGGTCAATTCAACATTAATGCATTCGCTATCTCGCAGAACACATTCGCCAAATGCCTAAATATTTTGAGTTGAAGTTTTATTAAAATATCACTATTAGTGTTTTATTTACTAATTTGAAAGATGAATAAATGAAAGGACGGTATCGATGAGAAATATGTCGTTCAATGTAAGCCATATTAAAAATATAAGAGAAACGAGTGAAGGCTCTGAGAGAAGTATAATGCTGTAGATTGAAATATTGATATCATACTACATATTTCTAAGAATTATTATGCGCTAATGACAGCTTGGGTTATCTAGTTCCAGAGTTGCTCGATTTCACTTTTTCACTTCTGTTCAGAATATACAGCTATCCTAAAATTCCCGTCTTCGTTATTTTATATTGACGTGTAAACTATTAACGTTGAAGTGTTGTGTGAGCGTTGCCGTTCTTTCAGATCCGTTATACAGCCCGTTTGTATTAGGACAAGTTCAATGGTTCCGCAATTAGCAGTTACCGTACCGAACTTCAAACATTACATATGTTAATTTCTGCGATTTTCACACTCTACGCGAGCAATTTTTGAAATCATAAAATAGGAAGACTGGGAATATTGATTTCATTGCTTGAAATGTTCTTTATACTCCTCTTTACTATTCACTAGCCTACTCATAATTTCGATATACACTCCTATGAGTTATTTCTTATTTAAGCCATCAACAATTAGGAAAATGAACAAACACTGTTGAGTCTAATTCATGCTAATACTGATGGTTTAATAGAAAATTCATGGTTACTTGCAGAATAATGTTTTACGGCCAGAGTTAAGTTTCAGAAAGGGAATTTTCTAAAACCTGTTTCAAGTGATTCTGATTGAAATTTTTGTAAAAACCAAAATTTTATAACGTTTGGAATTTTTACTTTCCCAAGGTCTCAAGTGTCATCATTTCAGTTTGTTTTCAGATTGTAAAGCGATATAAACTTGCATAAACTAATAATCCTACACAATATACAGTTGTTTGTCTAGTTTAACCGTTCGTTTGTTACTATTCAAACTTTACGAATGAATGAATGTGGCGCATATATATCTGGTGCCCCCTTGTACCCATATTTATGTGTTCAAATAAATAAAGTAAATAAATTACAAATGAACACTAACATAACTTAGTCCTACTTTTTCGGAGATTAGAACCTCATATATTGGTCACACACATGTATAACTTTATTTAAAAGGAGATCTTATAGTTGTTACAGGATTGGAAATTTTTCTATCCACTGAATGGAAAAATAGCTAATAAAGCAAATGAAAACGATATTGTATGATTATTAGTTGACTGCTTTAACATTTAGGATTCTGGAAGACAAATAAATAACTTGACTATTGTCAATCAGGTCTCCAAAGCACAATATGAAACTTAATACAAGCGCTGTTATTTCTACAAGTCGATTTTTCGCCTCTTTTCTTTTTGGCACCATGGTATGCTACTCACTAATCATAAGTAGATTGAAATTTATCCAACCATTCCTATGATTTATATATATCGTACTTACTCTTACTTACGCCTGATACCCTCGTGGAGTAGCATACGCCAACCACCAGCATTCTCCATCCAACTCTGTCCTGGGTAAAACTTTCCGGTTGCTATTCATCCTTGTGATGTCTGCCTCTAATTCCGTGCGCTATCTATTATTTGGCCTTCCTCTTTTCCGTTCCCCTCCAAGATTCCAAGTTAGTGTTTACCTTGTGATAGTTTGATGATTTCCGTAATTTATGTCCTATCCGCTTCCAACGAATTTTCGTAAGTTACTCTTTAGTTAGAAGTTGGTTTGTTCTTCCATACAGTAGGCTCTTGCTGATAGTATCCGGCCAACGGACAATCAGTATCTTACGTAGAAAATTGTTGTTTATAAATACTTGTACCTTTTTGATGATGGTTGTGGTAATTCTCCAAGTTTTAGCTCCGTACAGTAGAACTGCCTTGATGTTCGTATTGAAGATTCTAAATTTGATGTTGGTTGACGCCCGACTGTTGTTGCTACCTTGACGTGGTGGTCGGGCTTGCCTATCGTGATGAAGCAACCGAGCTATACTGGCTGGAACAACCGTTCCTCAAGGTCCTACCATGTCAGACAGGTCGGTTGAAGAGCGGTAAGACTAAAAGCAACAAACCCAAGGTCCGAAGGCGAAGTCGTACTGCTGACTGTACAGAGGTGTGACAGCAGTAAGGTGTTTCCTTCAGACAACCAGCATGACAGCGATGCTGCCTTCCCACAAGGAGGGGTGGGGTTAGAAAAGGTCGACCCTAAAAATGCACACCTCACCTTACCTCACGGATTTCCGTCTCCGGCGGTAAGGCCCTTTGAAGAACGGAGCTAACACGTCAAAAACCTCCCACGAAAAGGCCGTGCGCGACCGGCCTCAAGCAGTTGTCCCTTGGGCACTGCGGTCACGCTCTCAGGTCACTGAGACCACCTCTAATCCAATTTCCTTTTCAGGTACCTCCAGAAGAACCCTTCCACGGTGTGGGCAACCGGGAAGTGATAACCGCCCTCATACCTCTAACAGCACTCAAGACCACTGTATTCATAATCAACCTTCCTCTTCAATTCCTATTATTCCTCCTACATCGACTTTCAACTCTAAACTTCCTCTTTCGGCTTCCTCCTCAAGTGTCACCATAGCCAACGATTCTAGTGCTCAAAACCCTGTCCCAGGTCTACTGAAACCTCGCTCCAAACTACACATTGGAGCCTTCAACGTACGCACCCTATGTCAAATCGGTCAGCAGGCTTCCTTGGCTAAAACCCTAGAGTCTCTTTCCATTGATGTATGCTGTGTCTCCGAAACACGCATACAGGATTCCAGTGTGGTCATTCACTTGACCTCACCTCGGCAAAACGGAGAGCCAACGAGATACACCCTCGTGTATCTGGTGACCCGATGGCAAGTTCTCGTGGACTGGCAGGTGTAGGCATAGCACTAAGCATGAGGGCGGAACAAGCACTGCTAGAGTGGATCCCCGTCAACAGTCGTCTATGTGCTGTTCGGCTAAACGGCTCCGTAAGAACTCGGAAGGATAGGGACACACGTCGTTGCCTTTTCGTCGTTTCTGCCTACGCTCCCACTGACTGCAGCTCAGATGAAGTGAAAGATGAATTTTACAGAAAGCTTCTGAACTTCTTCAGAAAGCTAAACGCTCAGACATAGTACTCGTAGGGGTGACTTTAATGCTCAGATAGGTAGCTTAAACCAAACAGAAAGGCATTTAGGTGGATATTTTAGTATTCCGGCACAGCGAACAGATAATGGTGATCGTCTGCTGCAACTGTGCTCAGACAATCGTTTATTTTTAGCAAACACAAATTTTAAGCATAAGGAGAGACATCGTCTAACATGGCGACCCCCTACACCAAACCAACGATGGACTCAAATAGACCATATTGCCATCAGTCATCGTTGGAGAGGGTCGGTAGAAGATTGTCGCTCATTCTGGAGTACCTGCTTGGACTCCGACCATGCCCTAATACGGGCACGCATCTGCTTGCGCCTCACTGGACGCAAAAAAGCCACATTAAAAAGACCCATTAGAACTGAGTTGAGTAACGAGAAAACCAAAAGTAGGTTCCAGGAACAACTGAGGTCACACTTAGGTAGTTCTGAAGACGAGGCTGACCCAGATGTTGCTTGGAAAGCATACAAGCAGCTGTGGAAACAGCAGTGACATCTATTAGTGACTTAAACCACAGAGTTACAAAGAACCAGTGGATTTCTTCAAAGTCTATCACACTGATGGATTCTCGCAAACTCGTCCCATCAGGTTCCGAACATGATGAAGAGCGACAACAAATCAGATCTAGGTTAAGAAAAAGTCTAAGGAACGACCGTGAGCAGTGGTGGGCAACGAAAGCAAAAGAGATGGAAAAGGCGGCGACTATAGGGAACACAAGACAGCTTTACAGACTAATAAAAGAAACTGGAATTAATAAGTCAAGTGTAAGTGAGATTATTTCGGAAAAAGACGATACTCTCATCTGCTCCCAGTCCAGACGTTTAGAACGATGGGCGGAACATTTCAGAGAACAGTTCAGCTGGCCTTCAGCTACTCTACAACTACCCTCCATTCCCAGACAGTGTGAATGGAACATTGAAGTAGGTCCCCCAACTCTTGCTGAAGTTCAAAAGGCTATAGTTAATCTGAAACGAGGAAGGGCAGCTGGTCCAGATGGACTGGCTCCAGAGGTCTTTAAGGATGGTGGTCCAATTTTAGCGATTAGGTTGACTAATATTTTAGCTAAGATCTGGGAGTTAGACGTTATCCCATCTGACTGGTCACAATCACTTATCGTCCCAATATATAAGAAAGGGTCAAAATCATCCTGTGACAACCACAGAGGGATTAGTTTAACTAATATAATATCTAAAATACTAGCCTCGATAATTATCAGACGCCTAACTAAGACTCGTGAACTGCAAACACGAGAGAACCAAGCTGGCTTCAGACCTGGTCGTGGCTGCATCGACCACATATTCACCATTCGTCAGGTTCTAGAACACAGGCATACTTATCGGCGTCCGACAATGGTGGTCTTTCTTGACTTAAAAGCAGCATTTGACTCTGTAGACCGCGAGATTCTGTGGCAGTGTCTGTCATTGAAAGGCGTACCTCAGAAGTACATAAACCTTGTGAAGGCTCTTTACTCGAACACTACTAGTCGAGTCAGAGCTTATGGCGAACTGTCATCTACTTTTGCAACCTCAAGTGGTGTCCGTCAAGGCTGTCCACTTTCCCATTTTTGTTTAACTTCATCATAGACCTACTGATGGAAATAACTTCTCGTCGACTGAATTCTCGGGTATTGATCTCCATCCAGGAGGTCCACTTATCGACTTAGAATACGCAGATGACATAGTCCTGTTTGGTGAAGACGCTGACAAAATGCAGAGTCTTCTGGTAGCACTAAGCAACAATGCCAGAATGTTTGGAATGCGCTTCTCTCCCTCTAAATGCAAGTTGTTGCTTCAGGACTGGTCTGCGTCAACACCTGAACTAAGGATAGGGAGTGAAGTAGTCGAACGCGTTGACAACTTCACTTATCTTGGAAGTCTGATCAGCCCTAATGGGTTGGTGTCTGACGAAATCTCAGCACGGATTCGAAAAGCTCGTTTGGCTTTTGCCAACTTACGTCACCTTTGGGGAAGGCGAGATATCCGTCTATCAATAAAAGGACGAGTATACTGCGCGGCAGTCCGTTCTGTTTTACTTTACGGCAGCGAAACATGGCCATTAAGAGTAGAAGACACTCGTAAGCTACTAGTATTTGACCACAGATGCCTTAGAAATATTGCTGGCATCTGCTGGGATCACCGGGTAAGTAATAGTGAGGTTAGACGCAGGGTATTAGGGAATGATGGTAAATCAGTTGATGAGGTTATGAATCTTCATCGACTGAGATGGTTGGGCCACGTATTACGTATGCCTGAACACCGATTACCACGACGTGCAATGCTATCCGGTATTGGAGATGGTTGGAAGAAAGTTAGGGGCGGCCAAACCAAAACGTGGCATCAGTGCTTGAAGTCACTAACTTCTAGTCTGAGCCATGTTGGTAGATGCAGACTACTTGGTTGGGGTCCGCGTGACTTCGTAACCAATGGTTGGAGACTCTTGGTGACATGGCTCAGAATCGATCACAATGGCGTCGGTGTATACACTCCCTGTCTTCCCTTAAACTAAGAGATTAAAATCACTTCACATCTTTCTTTCTACGAACCAATTCTTTCTTCTTGTACTATATCTCTATATGCAATCTTTCTCTTATATATTACCACCTTTGACCTAACCACTGCTATGAATCCGGTGTTCATCTTGTTGTGCTGATGCGGTATGGCAACCTGGACCGATGCACATATGTGCCTGGTCCTACGTTGTAGCTGACTGACTGACTGACTGTTGGTTGACAGACAGCTGTTTTGAGTTCAATATGTTCTTTAATTGTAGGAATGCGGCCCTTGCTTTGCTAATCCTCGCCTTTACGTCTGCATCGGATCCTCCTTATTCATCGATGATGCTTCTCCGGTACGTGAAAGATTCCACATCTTCCAGAGCTTCTCCATCAAGTGTGATTGGGTTGATGCTCTCCGTGTTTTATTTGAGGACCTTGCTATTTCCCTTATGTATGTTGAGGCCTACTGATGCAGAGACTTCTTCTACACTGTTTGTCTTGACTCACATTTGTTGCTGTGTATGGGATAGAAAAGCCAAAACCAAATCGTCTAGTTGCATCCAACCTTTCCATTTTATTCCGTGTTTTCCGTCAGATATCGAGGTCTTCATAATCCAGTCAACTACCGGAAGAAAGAGCAAAGGAGAGAGTAAGCAGCCTTGTCTAACTCCGGTCCTCTCTCAGAATGCGTCTGTCAGCTCTCCTCGATGCATGACTTTGGAGTTTAGTCCGTCATATGAATTCCGGATGGTGCTGACGACTTTCTCAGGTACTCCATAGTGTCCAACAAGGTTCAATAAAGTACTCCTATTCACACCGTCAAATGCTTCCTCAAGGTCGAGAAAGTTGATGCATAGTGACGAATTCCATTCAACTGATTGTTCAACAATCATCCACAGTGTCACGATTTAGTCTGTGCACGACCGATCACTAAGGAATCCGTCCTGTTGATCTCGAAGTCGGGCGTCTACTGAGTCTTCCATCTGCTTCAGCAACACTCTGTTGGAAACATTTCCTAGTACGGACAGTAGTGTGATGCCTCTGTAGTTCTCACATTTGCTCAAGTCTACTTTCTTTGGTATCTTGATGAGGTATCCTTCTTTCCAGTCTATCGGCACTTGTTCCTCCTCCCAAGTATTCCTGTATAGAGTGTGAAGCATGCTTGGAGTTACTTTCGTATCTGACTTCAGAGCTGCAGCTGGTACACTGTCAGGTCCTGCTGCTTTCCCGCTCCTTCTGATGGCCATCCTGACTTCTTCGATCATTGGTAAGTGATAGCTATAGGGAGGCCTGTGTGGACTCAATGGAACTGGCCTATTCAAGAGTTCCTCAAAGTATTCTACTTATCTGTTCCACTGTTGTTGAATCTCATTGATTTACTTGCCTGCTTTCTTGTCCTTGACTGATCTGTCTGGTTTACTATATTTCTCTGCCAGTTTCTAGACTGTATTATATAGGTGTTTGCATTTCCTTCACTTGCAGCTTAATCCGCTGTCGTTGCTACGTCTTCCACGTATTTCTGCATGTCAGCTCTAATGTCCTTCACTCGCTTGTTCGCTTCAGTGTATTCAGCTCGTTCCCGGACTTTCTCTGTTCTTGTCCAGCTGTTGTTAATTGCTGTCTTCTTGCTCTTCCTTTCTTGAATCTGGCCCAGAGTTTTGAATCTATATATCATAACGAGTGTTATGTATGTATCAGCGAATCGATCACTTTATGCTATCCGTTTACACTCAAGTCTCTATGTTTCATTGAAGTCTGTTATTTTTGACAGTATTTTTCGCCTCGGTTAGTTTAAGTTTTTCATTTCTGTTTTATTCTTATTGCAAATTTGCTGTTTCTTTTGTTTTCTTTAATAGACGGTATCGTTTAGAGAATCTTGCTCTTTATGTTTCAGGATTTTCATATTGGAATAAAATACTCAAATTATTTCTATGAGTAAATTATAAAAAGTAGTATAGCTACTTTCTGTAATTTTGACACTAAACATAAACTATGCACTGTAAATTTTTTATGAAAAACTGATCAAAAATATGTTGAGTTTCGATTAAAAATTATCTAGTACACTGGGATTTTAGTTCGTTGGCGATTGGTTTCGCACCAGAACAGAATATTCCAAGATTCAGTACAAAATTTTTTCGGACAAGAAGCAATGGAATATAGTGTCAGTGTATCTAGGCTACTAGGGCGAAAGTTAGTTGTTCGGAAACAAACTACCAGTCAACATCTTCCAGCCAAGTAATATCATTAGATTTACAAGAAATCAATACAAGTCTACTAATGATTGGTGAAACAGTCGAAGGTTGTTTTTATTTCATTCTTGGAAATTTGTTATAATTTTTGTTCCTAGTTCAATCGATCAAAGATATAACTATTATTATGAAACATAAAAAAGTCAGTATTATGATCAGTACAGCGACGAAAAAAGGTGAATCCGGAGTTTTCCTTTTAATTAGAGTTGTTTTTCTAAAGCCAGATTACTCCAATGAAATATGCAACAATCAGTTCCTTTTTGTAAGTTCGAATAGTGTGATATGAAAACAATTATATTTAAAAAAGTGATAAACACTAAACCAGACAAAGTCGACGCCCTCTTCACTTACGCACACACGAACATGAATTATTAGTGGGAAAACATGGTATGTTATCACCGATATGAATGCATGTATAAAACTATAGTTATAAATTCGACTGAGGAAATGTCAAAATTCTGGAACAGGGGAAATTTCAAGAATGCAACGGAATTTCTGGAGGCATGACATTCCAGTGAATCAAGAATTAATAGACACATCAAATTAGACCTAATCCTTAAAAATACTCGAAAAAAGCCAACTAACGACACTATCAAAGGTCAGTGATTTGAATATAAGTACAAGCACAGACAGCAAGACCTACAACGACAACCAATTGCAAACCAGGTTACCAGAATAAATTGACTCAAGCCCTGTGGAATAACCAACGAGCTCACTTCTATATGGGATAAATCCTGATTATTTTGTTCAAAACGACAATGACAACTCTATAATTACACCACTGAGCTCTGAGAACTGAACAACAATAAAAAGGTAGTGTTTTTGTAGAACACATATTTACCTGTCAAATGAATTTGAAACGAAAGCTAGGAAAAGTCATGTTGGAGATCCTAGATCACCAGAAATCGTTTGGTAAATGTCTTAATATCGTAATTTTGTTTTGGAAATTTGAATTTCTCGTCTTCGCGCTAAAAGTGCCCATTTTTACCTTTAGATTGCATTTCCCACTTGGAAAGACCCTAAATGTCTTTGGTTCGCTGCCCCTTTTAATGAGCTATTTTGTGACGCTTCCCAAGGACCTTTTTATACTGTATATATACTCTTGAGTTGTGCGCTTGGTTTGTTCGTGCTTCTGGCTGCTTGTGAAATATACTTCTCCGTCGGCTAAATCTGGTCTTTCCCTCTAGTTAGCAGGACCGGGTCGCATTGGAATAGTTTAGCTTGTCCTGTTGTTGTGTTGCAGACCGTCGTTCCGTTAGCCGGTTTAAGTGAATCACAATCTCTGCAAACATAACAGGTCAGCTGAATAAAAAGTGACAATTAAAAAAATAACAGGCAGAAAGATTAGCTGTTTATATCACCCCTGACTTTAAGAGGACTAAAGATTATGAGGGCAGGTTGGACAGTAAAGTTTGATGATGATGTACCAATTTACAAGCCATGATAAAAATAAAAAAGTTCAAATTCAAAACTTAGCGAAATGACAATAGAGAGCTTGCATTGTACCATAATAATGCTTCAGATCAAACTATTAACAAATATCTTACTGTGATAGGCTTGTAGTGTTTATCTGAATTATAAAGTTTTCAATCTACCTTGAATACAATGAAACTGCATAAAAAACGTTCTAAATTAATTAAATCAGATGATAATAGTTTCTCTTAAATTGATGATATTGAGTAAATAAAGTAGGAAAAAGACTAAGCACTGACAAACCAAATTGAACTATCTTACCTCTTCATAATTATCAATCGTAAAATAAAGATCTGGGTAAACTATTTCTTCATAACTTCCTTTCATATTCATTTGTCTATGGCTAGGAGATGCATAAACAGTCTACAACAATTAAGAAAACATGAAATTATTTATCTCCAAACATTCACTTGAGATATTTTCTGGGGGTTTTTTTCAAATAAATAAATGAATTATAGCAACAATTTAAATATTTTTTGTTATGAAACTGTCAAGTTCTAATGATTTATTAGTGTCATGAGTGAAATCTTCTATATAGACATTTAGTGTAACCATTGGAAAATGAATAATAATTCTTCAAAGACCATTTGAATTCATAAGCAAAAAAGAGTACAGAACTTGTAATTGTCTAAAAATAAAGCAAACATTGTTAAGGAAACTATTATATAAATAATTAACGAGTGATTCTATCAAACAACAAAATTGTATAGCATATTAAAAGTATAAACTGATTAGATTAAGTTTCAAAGAAAAATATCATATTTATGAGTTATTAGTATGATCATTAAAAGAGAGACATTTCCAAGTAAATAACATAAACTAATAAGTGATTTGTCGGTGAAATCAAAGGTCGATGACTATTGTTGATAACTTGAAAGTTTAAATAATAAATTAACACAACAGAAGTTTTAAACTACGCATACTATTCAATAATACTAAAATCTAAGTAGAGACAATAAAGTTTTAACTCATAATTCAAAAGTTATATAATTAGTTAGCAAAGTCCAATTATCCATTGGTTTCCGTTAATCATATATTGATCTTTTAATATCATGTCCATCTACCATCTATTAAGCAATAAAACGTATGAAATCAGAGCTCTTAGATCAGCAAAATGTCTAATCAATAGTTTAATGAAATTTAAATCTAAAACAAATTAGACAATAAATTTTTACTCAATCAAGATATTCGCATTTATTATTGATGCCTGTATACAAAACTAATCGACTACAAAGAGTGAAAAAAAAGTTTATTTCAGGAAAAAGAAAGAAATGCCAATTCAACACAAGTCAAATATAATTTACAGAAAAGTTATAAAAACTATGAAAATATTTCCTATGGGACTCAGTAAATCAAGTACTAATCTGTGAATACGGCTTTAACACACCATTTTAGTATGAGATTTATGAATACTGGTCAGTTACGCCCAAATGCCCCACTATGGACGAGGGTGGGGAAAGTTGGCTCTCCCTCTCAAAATACTCTCACATGGCCACGCGTACACAGCCACTTCAAGGGAAGTCCTACTCACTACCCTCTCGCACCATGGGTGTTGTTTACGAAATTGAAAGGAAGAAAAGTGAATGTTTGACGCTTTAATTGGGTTGTTGGATATGGAGGATCCACCTATGGGAGTTGAAAAACCCTGATTCCGAACCAATGGTGCACATGGGCTCCAGGATCCTGAAGGAACAAATGACGTATGAACCAATTGTTAGTCACCGGATACCATGGGACTGCATCTCTTGGCATTGCTCCGCTGCCTTGTGGATCAGACCTGTAGGTCGAAGGCTCCAGGTGTGGCTCCCTAAGAAAACCACCTGCTTCGGTTTGGGCACCCGGGCAGTATCATAGCACATACACAAATCAAGTGACGTGTGGCACATATGTATTTGGTGCCCTTTGTACCAATACTTATGTATTCAAATAAATAAACATTCTTTTTACATTTTTATACAATTTAACGTTACAATAGGCTAATAATTGAATGATTTATGCTGATTCGTCCAACAACTGAATAAACTGTTCATACCATAAAGAAGAATAAGACAGGATTGAGAAAGTAGAGGAATCTTTATTTCACTGATCAACATAAGCTTTAAAAAATGTTGATACTTACTTGCAAGAATCCGTTTTTATTAATACTAACAAATTCTAATTGACTAACCTTTTTTCTATTTATGAATGAATTGAATTTGCAATTTTTTTCCGATCTTCAGAACTAGTACTTTTATTCAGTCTCATAATTTTCTTATAATCCACTTAATGATAAGAGGACGGAAATTATCAGAACTATACTATATATTAGCGCAATACATTCCGAACAATTTGATCACACATATGCTTGTTGAGAGAATCTAAACCTCCCTTATTTGTTTAAAAACAGTGTATTCTCACCCTAAACCTATCCTGGTAATTTTCCTTTATCATCCAGCGTGGTGAGTTTTACATTGTTTTTAACATTTTTTCCTTATCATCTTCGTTTCTTCTTACCTCTCATTTGTCTAGTTGACCTTTAATTTTCATATACTTAGTGTTCATAACAAGCATATGTGTGATCAGATTGCTTGAAATGTATTGCGCTAATATGTCGTATAGTTCAGACAATCTTCGTTTTCTTATTACACTACCCAAATCTGTCAAAGGAGTGGATTTTTCCAAACACCTAATGATCAGTGTCTGGTGTGATGGCTTGCTGGTTAAGTGTCGGATTCCAGGTTCGAATCCCAGTTTCTATAATATTTTCACAATGCTGTGTATTTCTGTGTTTTTTAATGAGAAACAAAGAAATTTGATTTACAAATTCCATTATTATCCATTAAACCCATGAATTGACAACAAGAATCCATGTCACGTCAGTACTGACGATAACGGTAAGAAGAATGAAAACTAAGAACTTACTTGAGAAAATTTCTTTAAAATTTGCCACTCTTGAGGTCCAGTACGAGTGCATACAGCAACTGTCACAACATAAACAAACTAAAGTGTAGAGAAAAATCACATGAAAAAGTAATCCAAGAAAAAACATTATAAGTATTAAATTGAACTAATAAAGAGTAATGAAACAAATAAATTGATTTCATTAACCGACTATTATTAATTTCTTGAATGAGTTACCTTAAATTGAAAACCCTTCAGTATGAAACTGTTATGATACCGAAATATCTTTTTCTATATGTTATTCTTGAAAGTATGTCAACATTATTATATCACTTCACAAGTTAACAACAATGATCTCGAAAGAAAACCTATAATGATTTTAGTCATTCACTTGATAATGTTGTAATGAATAGTCAGGAACATTCGATTTATGATCCTGTCATTTCTTCTTAACTAACATATAATCAGTGACGTTATATGATAAACAAATTTTGATAAATACTAACAGATTGTAAGTTTGTCATTTCTTGTTTCATTTTGATGATTTAACGAGTTCGTTGATCAAAATAACGGTCGAAAAGGAATAATAAACTTTACAGTTAGTCAAAACTAGCTATACATCAAAGAAAAATTTATAGGTAACAAATAGTAAGGCAGTCGTACAGAGTTAAATAAGCCAATATAAATTGACCATTCCATTTCTGGAAGCAAGAATGAATAACAGGAAAATGACACATAAATGATTTATAAAAGTATTCTTCAGATTCAAATTTCAAAATAATAATAATCATGACTACTAATTCTTAGGTCAAATTTAGTTACAATGCTTACACAGAAAACTATGGGAGCATAAGAAACTGGATTATTAAAGGTTGAATAGCAATGTACATAATTCATGAGTACACATAAATTTCAGGCTGATACAGATAGTAAATAAATCTCCTCACAACAGTACTCCTACATTTGCATCTATCATTCACCGTGTGGCCCTGAGACAAAATGTGACCCGTCAAGACTCGTCTAGTCCATTTTATTAAAAATTTACTTACTTGCATTTATTTGCATCATTTGATGTTAGAGCATACCATGGGACTATAGTTATATGGTTCCAGACGTTGAATAATACGGTCTAAAATTGGTTGCAGTGGGATGAGTGTATTCATATTTTTCTTTTTATATCAACATCATGAACTTAGAGTAATCTCCATGCTATTTGCTTAGTGAACTCATTCTTTATTTTGGAATCATAATTTCTATGTCGAGTCTTTTTACTATCATAGACACTAACATTACTTCAACTTTTTTGGTGCGTAACTTCTAACTTTCATCCCAGGTTAGGAAATGATGTATTCAGAAGTGGAACAAGACTTAAGACAAAAATTAGTAGATTTATCAACCAACCTGTGATATAATTCAGGAATCACAAACGGCTCGAAGGCTTTATAGAGTATTCTCGTATCTAATTATAACCGCTCTGATGCCCCTTTTGCACTCACTCACTTTAGATAGTATAGCATATTGAGGTAGATTATAGCTTATTGTTTTTAGTGCATCACTACATCAGTTATTGAGGATACTTTAAAGACTATGTACCAGGTTTGAATTATTATTTAGATTATCTAATCAGATCAAAATATTACCTGTGGGTAATCGGAAGAAGAAACTGTTACCCACGTATATGGTTAGATCATAGTTAACGTAGAACCTGGTACAAATATATACCCACCTTTAATAAGAAATTCGAATGAAAATGGTAGATATTACAAATTTAGGAAAGATACCATAAAACCTCATACAATTTAACTGATAACTAGGAATTATTATCCGTATTTGAAAATTCATTAAACACAGACTCAAATCTTGATCATGTCATTTAGGGTGAAGACGAGAGAAAAAATAGATCTTGTTGTCAAAGTACGGATGAGCCGCTTTTTCACTGGAAACGACTATAATTATCATTTTATCTTAAAAAAATTACACGTAACAGGATATAAAATCAGCTTAACTAATGAATTTATAAGTGATCTTGCAGCAGACTATAATTAACGTCTACCTATACACGAGTGTTAGGTAAATTTTAATTCATGTCAAGGTCACTGAACCACTATTCTAAAAATAGATGTGCGTTTTTTCAACAACCCAATAAGTTCATGGGACAAGATCTACATGAAAATCCTAATTGAAATGCCATGTTTAAGATTTTTAAAAAATGATACTTACATATTGCATGAGTAAGTTGAGATACACTGTTTCCTCCCAATCGACATAATCATCTGTCAATTTTGGAAGATTTGAACTGTTTCTACGAAATACACTCAATTCTGGCTAGAAACAAAATTTACAATTATTCATTTGTTGTATAACTCTTCACAGAGTAAACTCAAACAATTTGAAGAAAAAGTAACAACAATAACCGTTTATGACAAAAAAAGGTTCGATAGCTTCTTACAATCAAAAAAGAAATTAAAGTTGCAACTTCTTCAGGATATTTGCTGTTGAATACCAAGGAAAAAGCCACAGAGAAGTAATCATATCTTTCCAAAAAATAATTCAACAAGTTCTTTTCAATCTGATTGACTTTGATTACAACGATCCAGATATATTGGCATGACAATATAAATGAAATTCTACTTCACTACATCACTTTGTTCCCCGAAAATTTTGAAATTCTTGATCTTCTTTGTTTTCCTACATAGCATCCCACGTCTTAATTGATTACCGAAAACATACAATCCTAGATTACTTCTTTGTCGAATTCTTCTTATTATTGAACTGCCCTGTAGTTAACTGAAATATTGGAGTCAGTTAGAGAGCAAGTACCACATTATTCTCTTCAGGATACACTTCAATCAGTCGGTAACACCAATAATTGTATATATATATATATATATATATATATATATATATATATATATATATATATATATATATATATATATAGTATAGTATAGATTTAAACTGCTTTTTTTAAAGGCTGAATTTTATGCACAATGCTACGTTTCTCAGTCTTATCGCTGGCTAACAATTAGTTCGTGAAATACTTTCCTTAGATAACGAAACTCTATCACATTTACGATGTTGTTTGAGATTTATATTATGTCTCCAAACAACATGTGGTTATATCCGGTCAGTTCACAAATTTCACTGTTTTATTATTTATGTGATTGACGGGACAGTGAAGTGTACTACTTACTATTGAATATTTTTACTATTAAAGCTTAAGTTGAATGACAAAGATAATATCTCAATGTTGAATTTAACAAAATTAACCTCTACATCATAACATTTTTATGTGTGTTTTACATTAGATTTCACAAATGCTGGTAAGTACCCGTTGATAATTAGTTAGAATAAACAGAAAGCCCAAACTGTGTTTCCACTGAATCGTGTACAAAATAACCTAAGCCTAAATAATGAATTGCATAGCTCAAAAGGTGTACAGTACAGCTTAATTGATACACTCTAATGAGCTGTACAAATTATAATTGAATAACTATTCAAAGACTTGTGTACTAACTCAAAACTTTGACATGTGGCGTAAACTTTTAAATAATGACTTAATTACTTAAGTTGAAAACAAAATTATAAAAAAATTTACTACCATGAAAAAACAATCTACTGGCAAAATTGGTTTTACATTAAATCTGTGCTATAGTATACAAAATACAAAATCCAAGTACATTGTTTGTCAAAAAATTTCATCCTATTTACAGAAAAAAATTAAATATATAAGCGTAAAGACAGTTAATGATTGAGATATTTCGTCATTATTATTAGAATTGACAATAACTGACTAGATTCACTAGTCAAATCATATTTATTTAAACAGAGTATAACAATATAAAGGAGAATAATATTAATCCTTTGAATGTATTGATCTATATTATGTAATACACAAGTCGGAGATTAATATTGTAGCATAAATAAGCAGTGCTCCCAAATGCCCTTGTATGGCCGAGAGTGGGGTGGGTCCGCCCTCCTTCTCGAAATACTCTCACACGGCCACGCGTATATAGCATCCGCCAGGGAAGTTCTACTCACTGCCTTCTCGTGGCGAGGGTGTTGTTTACGAAAATGAGAGGACAAAAAGCGAATGTCCGGCGCTTTAACCGGATCCCAAACCAATGGTGCACATGTACTCCAGTATCCTGCGGGAACAAATGGCGTATGAACCAATCTTTGGTCACCGACTACCATGGGACTGCATCTCCTCACGATGCTCCACTGTCTTGTGGGTTAGACCTTTAGGTCAAAGGCTCGGGTTGTGGCTCCCTAAGATAACCACCTGCTTCGGTCTGGGCACCCGGGCAGTATCACAGCCCACACACAAATATGATGGACAGTCGATAATTATGGAAAATACTTTTCTTGCGTCAATTAACAGTCAAACGATTCGCATTATTATTATTGTTATTATTATTATTATTTACTACTTCATTTATTCACTCTCTTTTATTCTCACTCTGTCTATCCTTATTTTTCGACTTATACAGCAGCTCGCCTATGGTGGAAATTCGGCTCTATCTAAACGTTCTCGAGTAGAGACGTTATCAGATATGGCTCAGAATAGGAGCCAGTGGCGATCCTGCTGTAACGTTATTTTACTTTCTTCATAAAAAGTGGTTGTATTTTCCTTAACTGAAAGATCTCTTCTGATTGTACGTTTCTGTTCCCCCCATTATTATTATTATTATTACACTACCTTACACTAATCTGTTCGTTATCGTTCTTTTTTAACTTTCCTTACATTTTTTCCTTCTCTTCAATTCTCATTTTTTTGTGTTGCGTATATATATTTGGTGCCCTCTTGTACCAATATTTATGTGTTCAAATAAATAAATAATAAATAATAGTGCTTTTCCTGACTAATTTATAACTTAATCAGGGAAGTAAAATAAAGAGTAATAAGTGGATTAACACAACAACAAACCCCTGTTTGATAAAGAAAGAAAAAATGATTTACTTTTGAAACTTCATTAAAAACCTAAGTAGACAACAAAAAAGTCAGGTTATTACTAAGTGGAGCGATGAACTATGAATTAAATCACTTGATTGTCAAAAAGTAGGTGGTAGGCTTAAACACTGGTATAATTATTTCGATTTAGACGATTTGATAGTACTGATAACTTTCACAAAAACAAATTGGCTTAAACTCCCGAGTTCACAAACTTGTACTTTGTAAATGAGTGCCATAATTACGAAGTGTAATTTTCTTCAACAGTACTATTTAAGCATATCCGAACATATTTTTATATGACCAACAAAATCACAATGAATGGTAATAGTATAAAATGAAATCTGCTTTAATAATATGTATAAAACGTGGGGTAATTGAAAGAAGATTCGTTGGTATTTAATAGTTCCACAAAGTGGAATGATATTCAAATGGTTTAGGCACTCATCCCCCAACTACGTGATCATAAGTTTGAAATGACGCTACAAACAATATAAAACTGTAAGATACTGTCATATCATGAGAAGTGAAAAAAATTTAGAACATAAACCTGAATGGTTAATAAGCGCCTAAAAAGACTAATTATTCAAGTGTGGAATGATCAAACGTGAATAAAAGTAAAGGTATCCTTATAAATATATTGCATTATGTTGATATGAAAGGAAGTCCATGAGTAAAAGGATAATGTTTAAATTACTTTTTTATCATTTTGTTTAAGATGGACGAAAAACAGAAGATCATCTCCTGGTCCGTCGACCGAATTCTCCAAAGCCGGTGAAAGAAATGCTTGAGTAAACAAATCGAACCAGAAATCATTATGGGAGTTAGTGAAAGCAACATCAAAGCTCTTTTTTAGAATGTTTTCTGAAAACATAGAAAGTCGGTAAGTTAAAGAAATTAATGAAGTATATTACTGCAATAAATTATATCATGAAAATAGAATAGAAATAAAAAAACTGATAATCTCCGTAGATGGCGTAGAAACAGATTTCAGATTTCATGAATCTCATACATACAAACAATCGATAAAACATGATTTAAGTTATCCTCTAATACGAATCATATTAAAATAAGTGATTTTGTGAACTGCTGTAGCCTAAAGGAACTATAGGAAATTGATATCGCTTCAAGAACCAATGGTAATTCAGGATGGTTAGGCGGCCATTTCATTTACACTTGTGATGTTTCAAAAGTGACTGTCTACTTAAGAAGTGAAATCAAGAACCCCAACCATTTCAAATGGAACACAGTTGCCTCAATAGACCAGAATCACCCAATGCTTATTAAAAGATTGCATCCTGAGTATAATCGGTTAAAACATGACAAAATTCTTTGCATAAATTTAGTGATTGCTTCAGGAAATTCCACTATTTCACATTCTTTATTTATTTACATCTATATATTTCAATATTAGGCTGTTGTTCTTCTCTTAGTACTTTAAAGGGGCAGTTTATTTTTAAAACAATATTAAATAAAACTTTGTCAGTAAAATGGAGTGACCAACTAACCAGCACAAAGCTGTCGTTGCCGAATGATCGACTCCATAATAGAATTCAGAGTAATATTACCAACCGGAGTGTTATTTAGACGTCCAGTATTTACAATGGAATTATCACTTGGATTTTCTGGGTCACACATAACCAGAAGCAATCGGATGATCTACTCTAAAAAGTAAGAAGAATATGAATGAATATATATATAAAAAAATGAAGCTGTTAAAGAAGCAAAATGAAACCTTGACACGAACGAAAGTGTCTAAAACGTTTCCCAAAACCGAAAGTATTGTATAACATCTTTTGTGTTCAATCCTTAGTAAATAGGTTATATGTGGATGTTTTGGACCGAAGGTGCGGCCGAGAGTGGGGTGAGTCCGCTCTCCCTCTCGAAATACTCTCACACGGCCACGCGTATACAGCCTCTGCCAGGGAAGTCCTACTCATTGCCTTCTCGTGGCGGGGGTGTTGTTTACGAAAATGAGAGGACGAAAAGCGAATGTCCGGCGCTTTAACCGGATCCCAAACCAATGGTGCACATGGGCTCCAGTATCCTGCGGGAACAAATGGCGTATGAACCAATCTTTGGTCACCGGCTACCATGGGATTGCATCTCCTTACGATGCTCCACTGCCTTGTGGGTTAGACCTTTAGGTCAAAGGCTCGGGGTGTGGCCCCCTAAGATAACCACCTGCTTCGGTTTGGGCACCCGGGCAGTATCACAGCCCACACACAAACGATGAACTCTATGTCTATGGCAACTACTTTTCTCGCTCCGAAAAACAATCAATCGATTCAAATAATTATCATTACTATTATTGTCATTATTATTATTATTATTATTATTATTATTATTATTATTATTATTTTCCACATTATTCACCCTCTTTTATACTTATACAGCGGCTCGTCTTTGGTGGAAATCCGACTGTATCTAAACGTTCTCGAGTCACTGTCCGGTTGAAAATTGTATGTTACCACCGAATATGAGTACTGAAGCAGTTTTTCTGAAACCACGTGCACCATTCAAACTGGCTGCCTTCAACGTTCGCACACTTATGCAGGTTGGACAACAGATAGGGCTGGCTATGTCTTTGGAAAGTCTTAATATTGATGTTTGTTGTCTATCCGAGACCCGTATTCAAGACTCTGGCGAAGTACTACAAATTCGATCTCCATCTGTCGCTTCGAAAAGCTTGTTTTACGTGCGCTTATCCGGGGACCCTGTGGCATCTTCGTCTGGTCTTGCTGGCGTTGGTGTCGCACTAAGCGCTAGAGCTGAGGCAGCACTAGTCGATTGGATCCCCATTAACAGTCGGTTATGTGCTGTTAGATTAGAAAGTTCCATCAAAGTGAGAAGAAATCGGCGTGAGAAACGATGTCTTTTCGTCATCTCCGCCTATGCCCCGACAGATTGCAGCCCGGATGCAATCAAGGATGAGTTTTACCACCAGTTATCTGTTCTTCTCCAGAAAGTGCGTTCGACAGATATTGTAGTACTAGCCGGAGACTTGAATGCTCAGGTCGGGCGTCTAGGCACAGAAGAGAGTCGTTTAGGTGGCCGATGGGGACTTGTTGGTCGCAGGTCAGATAACGGGGACCGTCTACTGCAACTGTGCACAGACCACAACCTGTTTCTGGCTAGCACTAACTTTCGGCACAGTCATCGCCGATGTGCCACCTGGCGTCCTCCCTCTGCATCTCAAGCCTGGACTCAGATTGATCACATCGCGATCAGCTACCGCTGGCGTGGTTGTGTAAAAGACTGCCGCTCCTTTTGGAGTACCTATCTGGACTCTGACCATGCCTTGGTCTGCGCCAATCTTGCCTTACTTTTCAGTGGACAACGAAGTGACCGCCATCAACGGATTGATGTTAGCAAGCTGGTTGCAACTTCTGTTGCAAGTAAGTATCGAACCGAGCTAGCCTCTAGGCTAGCTACCACTCCACCGAAAAGTATAGATGAGCATTGGTTGCAATTGCATGACGCCATGAAAATGGCGGGAACAGTCAGTTGTGGGTTTGCGAAACGTCCCGCTTTTAAGCACTGGGTTTCTTCTGGTTCCTTACAACTCATTGAAGCCCGTCGGTCTACTCCGGGTGACCGTGAGTTTGACCATAAACGAAGGATGTTACGTAAGGAAATTGGGCAAAGCTTGCGTAAGGACCGAGAAGCCTGGTGGTCGAAGCGTGCTAATGAGCTGGAAGCAGCAGCTGCATCTGGTAACTACCGGAAGCTCTTCCAGCTCATCCGAGCCACTGGCAGCAAGAAGTCTGGTGTGAGTGAAACAATCTGCGAGGATGATGGGATGCCAATCACTAACATCCATCGACGTCTTGGACGATGGGCAGAATTTTTCGAAGGGCAGTTCAACTGGCCTGCTGCTCCGGCAACATCGGTCAGACTGTCCTGCCCTCCATGGCCGGTGACGACTGATCCACCAAACGAGGAGGAAGTCCGCAAGGAACTCCAACTCTTGAAGCGTTACAAATCACCTGGCCCAGATGACTTACCTCCGGCTCTTTTTAAAGATGGTGGTGACTTTTTGACTAAGGAATTGACGACGTTGTTTACAAAGGTTTGGGAACTAGAGAGTGTACCAACGTCATGGAATGAGTCGATAGTTGTCCCTATCTTTAAAAAGGGTTCACGTCGTTCCTGTAACAACTATCGGGGGATAAGTCTACTTCCGATTGCGTCCAAGCTATTGGCTTCCGTCATACTTCGTAGGTTGTTCAAAACCCGAGAAAGATTGACTCGCGAGGAGCAGGCTGGGTTTCGTTCTGGTCGAGGATGTATTGATCATATCTTCACCCTCCGCCAAATGTTAGAACACCGCCATACTTATCAAAGGCCAACAATCGTAGTGTTTCTTGACATCAGGGCTGCCTTCGATTCGTTGGACAGGACTGTTCTCTGGGATTGTCTATTGAAGAAGGGTGTGCCTGAGAAGTTTATTAACATCCTAAAAGCCCTATATAAAAACACCTCAGGCAGAGTGAGGGCATACAACCACCTCTCTCCATTGTTCCATTCGAGCAGTGGGGTTAGGCAGGGTTGCCCAATCTCACCATTCCTCTTCAACTTTGCCATCGATGACATTCTGGAAACAGCTCTGATGAATGTAAGTAATGGTGGTGTGGATCTGTTGCCTGGAGAAAGACTTCTCGACCTTGAGTATGCGGACGATATTGTCTTACTGTGCGATAATGCCCAAGGCATGCAATCCGCACTTAATCAGTTGGCAATCAGTGTCCGTAGGTATGGTATGTGCTTTGCACCTTCGAAGTGCAAAGTACTTCTACAAGACTGGCAGGATTCCAATCCTGTACTCACCCTGGATGGTGAGCAGATAGACGTAGTCGAGAAGTTCGTGTATCTGGGTAGCTGCATAAGTGCTGGTGGGGGTGTGAGTGATGAGATCAATGCACGTATAGTGAAAGCCAGAGCGGCTTATGCCAATCTGGGCCACCTTTGGCGCCTTCGTGATGTTAGTCTGGCTGTAAAAGGTCGGATCTACAACGCGTCGGTGAGAGCAGTTTTGCTCTATGCTTGTGAAACCTGGCCTCTCCGAGTTGAGGACGTTAGACGACTCTCTGTGTTCGATCATCGCTGTCTCCGAAGGATTGCTGACATTCAGTGGCAACACCATGTCAGTAATGCAGAGGTTCGGCATCGTGTGTTCGGGCACAGAGATGATAATTCAATTGGTGTCACCATCTTGAAACACCGACTTCGGTGGCTTGGACATGTTCTCCGAATGTCGTCCCAGAGAATTCCACGTCGTGCATTATTTGCCGACTCTGGGACTGGTTGGAAGAAGCGGAGAGGTGGTCAGTGCATGACATGGTGTCGTGGCATGAAAGAAAGCTGCAAAGGACTGGCTTGTGTTGGTCCTTCACGACTCCCTGGTTGGGGTCTGAGAGATGGTGCTACACAGTGGCTAGAGACGTTATCAGATATGGCTCAGAATAGAAGCCAGTGGCGATCCTGCTGTAACCTTCTTTTACTTTCTTCATAAATAGTGGTTGTGTCTCCCTTACCTGAAAGATTTCTTCCGATTGTACCTTTGCGTTCCCTGATTACTAGCACATTACCTTACACCAATCTCTTCGTTATTGTTCTCTCTTTTTTTGTTGCGCTCCTTAGCTTTTTTTTCTTTCTTTGTATTCCTCTCGAATTTTCATTGTTTTGTGTGGCGCATATATATTGGCGCTCTCTTGTACCAATATTCATGTGTCCAAATAAATAAATAAAAAGCATACATTTTCATGAACAATGTGATATCCGACCAATTTTTCACAAACCTATCTATATTGTACAAATTGAAGCTGAGAGTTAGAGATGAGGAGACAAAGCATAGAACTGGTCCATGAAGTAAATAACGTTGATTGTTAGCCATGTAAGAAGAAGCAGACTTCTAGCGTATGAATGTAAAACCCAGATGATATTTCTATGAAATGACCACGATGGTATCCAACAACTTCTTACGGTACTAGAGACTGAAAGCTAGACGTAATGCCATCTAACTAACCACGATTGGTCATCACATTTTACAAAAGGGGTTATAAGTTTTATTGTAATAACCACAGGGGAATCGGTTTGCCTGGCATAGTCTCAAGTATTGTGAGCAATTATCATTTTACACCAAACTAAGGTTCATGAAAACAGAACGAGAAAAAATCATGCTGGTTCGAGACCTAGACATGAATTTATTGGTCGAATATTATTCACCCTTCGTCAGGTTTTGGAACACAAGGATAATTACCAGCGGTCGACAATAGATGTGTTTCGTGACTTAATGGCTCCACTTGGCTGACTTAACCGAGAAATACAGTAGGAATGTTACTAAAAAGCGAACCAATGAAGTTTCCATAGATATAGAGAGTTTATCATTTGCGTGTGGGCTGTGATACTGCCCGGGTGCCCAGACCGAAGCAGGTGGTTATCTTAGGGAGCCACACCCCGAGCCTTTGACCTAAAGGTCTAACCCACAAGACAGTGGAGCATCGTGAGGAGATGCAATCCCATGGTAGTCGGTGACCAAAGATTGGTTCATACGCCATTTGTTCCCGCAGGATACTGGAGCCCATGTGCACCATTGGTTTGGGATCCGGTTAAAGCGCCGGACATTCGCTTTTTGTCCTCTCATTTTCGTAAACAACACCCTCGCCACGAGAAGGCAGTGAGTAGAACTTCCCTGGCGGATGCTATATACGCGTGGCCGTGTGAGAGTATTTCGAGAAGGAGGGCGGACCCACCCCACTCTCGGCCATACCAGGGCGTTTGGGGGCATATATATTTGGCGCATTCTTGTACCAATATTTATGTGTTCAAATAAAGAAAGAAAGAAAGAAAGAACCAATGAAGTACATAAACTTCGTGAAGGCTCTTTGCTTGAAGACTTTGGGTGGATTTAGAATTTATGGTGAACTGTTATTAGAATTGGCAGCCTCAACTGATGTGCCTCAGGGTTCTTCAATATCCCCAATTTTATATAAAAAATGCTTTATCCGACTTTTAAAGGAATGAATTCCTACCAGAAGAATCGGCTAAAATGGTGCGGATGTAAACAATTTATGTTTTTCCCTAGACTCCTAACTTTAGAATCATTCTACACATTTTACTTCGTAAATTCATCCTTCTCCAAATCATATTTTCTATGTCTAGTGATTTTTAACTGCACCTGTACTACTACTACTTTTAACACTTGGCACTCATCTTGACAATTGAATCCCTTTGTGCTGCGTCAACCAGGAGCGATGTGTGTCCAACTCTACGATGATTATAACGGACTGAATCCTATGTACATCTGAACCTAGAAATGTGCGCCATTCCCCTAACCGACATTTGAGTATCCAATTTTTGAAGCTAAGTTAGAACTACCATGTTTAACTGTTAGACGTGATTACTGAAATAACGTCTAGTGGGCATGACTACATTTTATTTAGTGAACGATTGAAGTATGTGGAACTCTGTATGGTGGCTCTTATTTTCCTGATCAGACAATGTAATACCTAAGAGATACTTTTGTGGTAAACTCATAGTTAACTCATAAATTTAGCATGCATTTAATTATGAAAGAAATCACTTCCCCTTATAAAAATACATTTTCATTAGATGACGAACGATGGAAACACCTAGACATGTAATGAGTGTTCAAAACGTTGTGTGGGCAAGTTTTAAAAAATATGGTGCTTCAGCTTTAGCTGTTCAAAAAACTTAGCTGGGAAAAAACACTGGTTAGCATCGTCCTTAAAATCAGTTGGTGTGATCAACCACAAGATCAAAGATATCAAAGACAGAGACAAGGTTGCGAAGAACGGCCTGTCAAGTGAGTGTGAAGACGACTATTGGCCAATACTGTTGATCTCAAGATATGAAACCTCCACCAATCTATTAAGATCCAAACACTATAAACACAGTCAGTCAGCAACAACGTAGAACTTCGTACGTACGTACATCAGTTCAAGTTGCCACACCACACTAATACAGAGATACAATTGTCGCTTCAAATCCCACAGTTGTAGAGGAAGTAAGAGTATAAGCAGTAATCGGTAAGATTAGGGTTCGAAGATGTTATTTAAGAAGTGTAATCCAGTGAAATAAATTCGGGAAAAGAAAAAAGGATATAAAAAATTCACATTTGAATTTGGGAGAACAAAAAGAATGGATGCACCTGCACCGTTGCAAACGAGTTTGAGCCATGTCATTCAAGGTCTCTAAACATCGGTTGCTATCGTCTCGCGGATGACAAACATAGTAAAAAATACTCTGGGAGCATCAAAAAGGAAGCGAAACAAACTGAAATCGTAAACCTGTTATACTTCCCTCTAAAGGTTGACCTTAATATTTTGAAAAGCTAACATATTATTAACCGTACGACCATACTATTGTAAATAATATTTGTTGTTAACTTCAGAGTTTGAAAAACTATGCCAAGTGTCTGTACCGAAAACGAACAAAAAATATAAATAACTAAGTCGTACCTTTAAACTATTATGACAGATGTGCTTATGAGGAAATAGGGATTTAACGATGACTCTACATGTTTAAAAACGTAACGCAGTACTGGAATTAGCCGCACGAAAATTCATCTGTCTTCATTATCCAACTACCTTCAAATGGTTCAAATGGTTGTGGACGGAATAGAAGAAGCTTTCGCTTAACAGGCTTCCGTGTCTAGTAGCAGGGGATCACCAAATCCTCCAGGCAGGAACCTAGGTATGTTAACAATAAAAGAGGAAAAGAAATTGGTAAATCATAGTGCGATGCTGTCCTTGGTCCTTAAGAATAGGTCAAGTTGCCTCTTGAAGGACTCCTGAGAAGTCGCTTGGACTAGCTCGGCCGGCAGCGAATTCCAGCTTTTGACAACTCTTAAGGAGTAGAAGTTGTGTCTACATTCCGTCTTGCTATGTTGTGTTTCCAGTTTCTGGGTGTTACCCCTTAGGTTATTGTTCGAACTAAGCTTAAGTAGGTGTTTAAGAGGATGTCCAGAAGTGTTAAGAATACTATAAGCCATTAATAAATCACCTCTAAGACGCCTATATTCTAGTGGGTAAAGGTCTAGTGAACGGAGGCGTTCTTCGTAAGGCTTAGATTTGAGTCCTCGAACTGATTTCGTGGCTCGCCGTTGGATACGCTCCAAAGTGACCTTATCCTTTTGGAGTGAGGGGGGAGTACTATGTTTCCGTACTCTAAATGGGGACGGATGAAACTATTGAAGATTGTGTGGAAAGTTCTTCCGTCAAACTGACCAAAAATGCGCCTCAACGTTACCAGTGCAAGGTTTGCTCGGAAGGCATTTTTGTCACAGTTAGCGTAAGACTTTAAGTCATGGGGCACCAGGACTCCTAAATCTTTTTCGACTTGGGATACTACTAGAGAGGAGTTTCCTAAGTTGTAACTGTAGTTTGCGACATGTCGCAGATGGACTACTTTACACTTTGAAGTGTTAAAGGTAAGTCCGTTATCGTCTGCCCAACTATGAAGTCGAGTCAGATCCTCTTGAAGAGCCTGTACATCGTCTTGGTTGCGTATCTCTCTCCAAAGTTTCACGTCGTCGGCAAAAAGTAATAAGTCTGACGTTACCTGTTGAGGAAGATCATTTATGTAAATCAAGAAGAGAAGAGGCCCTAGTACTGAGCCCTGGGGGACCCCACTAGGACATTCCATAGCTTGAGATAAAGTGAAATTAACCCTAACCTTAAAGTGTCGATTTTTTAGGTATGAAGTAAGCCAGTCGATTAGAGGTGGTTTGATACCTAGTCGTTTGAGCTTGTTGATAAGACACAAGTGGTTAACCTTATCAAAAGCTTTTGAGAAATCAAGGTAAATGACATCAACCTTTCCCTTGCGATCGAGGATGCTTGTCCATCTGTCCACCGCAGTCAGCAGGTTGGTTATACAAGAGTAACCCTTCCTGAAACCATGCTGTTGGGGTGAGAAGAAATTTAAGGACAGTAGGTAGTCATTTAAACCGTCGCATATCAGGGACTCCATGAGTTTTGAAGGTAACGACAGAAGAGCTACCGGCCGGTAACTTGAAGGTTCATTGCGTCGACCACCTTTGAAAATTGGTGTGATGTGAGCCAACTTCCAATTTTCCGGTGGTTTGCCTCGGCTAAGCGAGTGTGAAAACATCACGCTAAGCGGCGTTGCCAGGATTGAGGCTGCCTCCCTCAGTATGGCAGGATGAACCATATCCGGGCCAGGAGAAGTGTCAAGTCTTAAGTGCTGCAGTTTCCGGAACACCAAGTCAGCGCTTAGGTCCACTTCAGAAAGTCCTGTGGAATTGCAGATGAAACTGTCGTCAATAAAGTTGATATCAGCCGGTTGAAATGTTTGAGAGTAATGGGCCGCCAGAAGGTTAGCGGCGTCGCCATCGTTGTTGGTCGGGCCGTTAGGACCTAGCAGTTGAGAAACTCCTGTTTTGGCTTGACGAAGAGAGGCTGCATAACGGAATAGGCTTCTAGGGTTAGAGGCGAATTTGTCCATAAGCTTTGTTTGGTACTGAAGCCTGTCTTCTCTTATAGCCTTCGTGCATGTGTTCCTGATATGTTTGTATTGCCTATACGCTCCATCGTTATTAGTTCGTTTGTATTCCGCCCAACAGTGCCGTTTGCGGCTTAGGAGGCGAAGGGTACGGTTCTTGATTACTGTAGGTGGCTTGAAGCTTTTGGGAACCGTTTGAGGAACTGAATGGTTTGTAGCACGTAAGAGCGTGTGCAGCAAGATGAGGAAAACCATGTTATTGCTGTTATTTCTGCTCCATGAGCAACTATACATTATACTAACAGAGGGAAAATTAATGGTTGCGACATTTAAAAGTCTTGTAGACTATCTTCGGAAATTACGATGTTGATTTATATTTGCTGTAACATATCCATATGTCTCAGTTGATGTTACATTGATTAATAAGGTAGCATCACCTGATGACACCATATGTTTCCCGTCTGAATTCATATATCCCACCTTGAAGCTGAAATTAAGAATTTATCTACCATTCCCGTTAGAAAATAATTTGTGTAGGGGCTCCAGGACCTAAACTAGCTTCTAGCAATTTTACTGTGTGGAACATTATCCAAATCTAAGATTGAATGGAGGGGCATTCGTAACTTTTCAACTCCGGGTTGGACATGCTAATGCAGTATATTCCAATTATCAAGCACTACATTACGTCATATGTCAAGTGGTTTCCATTCACTGTCTACTTTGAACTGTGCTTGACAAGATACAAGAACCATTTTGCCTTTGAAATTTATGTCTGAATGGTAAAAAAGACTTCGAAGTGATGAAAAGGTATGTTTCTTGTTGTTTTGAAAATAAAAAATGCAGTCTCTACGCGATATTTAATGCATACAGTAAGATGTTTCACTGTTTTTTAAACCTCTAAGATTTTTTATTCATCATATTTACGCCGTTTTCAGGTGACTCAACAACTAGTGGCGATGGCGATGGGTATGAAAAATATCTAAACGACCTCTGAAAGTCTCTACGAACCCCGCCATAGTATTCGTACATGCTTTTATTCACACAATCAACTGTCATAATTATAATACCACTACGAACGTTCAGTGCAACTGCCAGCCTTTCAACTTCGACGTTGTGCTTTATTTTATAAAGTATTGTTTCCTCGTTGCCATTATCTAACATATGATTTTGGTACGTCAATTAGCTGTTTAACTGCTCGACGTTCTAAAACATATCCAGGTCGATTGGTGGTATGACGATACTATTATTCACACGAATCATCAGTTTACGCAGTCGAGAGGATCTTCTGCAAACTTAAAACGATGGTGTCGCCTCTATCGCAACACTGAAAGCGTTTTTCATCGGTATAATTGGCATGAGTTCACAGTGACACTCTCGAATTCTTATATCCTTGTAGAGTTTTTACGTTTCACTTATCGAACAAACACACAGTACTCACTGGTTATCATTTAATAGAGACTTCATCGTGTCACCTTCGCTCTCGATCTGTAGTCTTCGATCCTTACTGATCATGACAACAATCATCGGCCTTTCAAACTCTGGATACAACTTGATCAGTAGCTTCGCATAACGAAATCCCTACCTCCCTTCATATTTTAACTTCCGTTTTTACTGTTAGTCTGTTAAAAACAAATATGACTAGAATTCAACACTTACGAACAGAAGCTGTAAACTACACTGTCTGACCTTACACTTTAAACCAATGGCTGTACAAACATTGACATCAACTGAAAATACACTTATTGTGCTATCACTGTAGAATCATTACTCTTTCGGCAAACTTACCGTTTCTCATCTGAGGAACTCAATCATATTTCAAAGCTATCTATTTCAACTCGACTTGATAGAACTCTTGAACGTTATATTTTTTTATTTCTGTGGTTACTCACTTTATATTCAACCAACGTTCTAGTAACCTATTATTATTTGCTGTTTCCCGATCACATTCAGCCGTCCCCTTTCCATTTGTCTTACTGCTCAGCAATACCCGGAGGATTCATAATAATCGTTTGGCAACCTCCGGCGTGCGACTACTCCCAACATGTTTGGTGCCGATTCAAACTGCTATTGAATCCGGTGGGAGAGTATTTTGGGGTCAGTGAAATGTCACTGAGCGCTAGACATATCATCCGGCAGTTGGGTCACTGAATATCAAACAGATCATCGATCCCTGTCAAGGTCAAATACAAACAACGTGCATCAGTTAATCGTATGTTATGGACTGGTCCATGTGGTAGCGGTCACATTTTCACTTGTACCTACTTTAACTAATATATTTCTGTAATAACGTCATTTATGTTATACAGTCCTCAAAGCATCCATAGTACGGAGGGGTATTACGCGTTAGGTGCTGACCGTGAGGTGTAAATCCGATGCTAGCTGTTGGTCACACTATTCCTGTTTAATTCGATTAGGCCCACAATCATTTGACAGAGATCATCAACGTTGATGATGCACAATATCATCTACATTTTTTGAAAAGTGGAGAAAACGTGGTCGCATTGTAGGACCATACATAGAAATTAGACAGAAATAGAAAATCATCATTCCTGGAAATCTAATTATCTTCTTGGGTGACAAGTGTGACAATTTTTCGAAGATTTTTTTGAGATAGTTTTTACAAGCTGGTTACGTACAAGGTGTTTTAGGAACCTTAAGGATTTCTTCCCGAACGAATAGTTTCCATGATATGTAACTGTCCCACATTTGTCCAGTCTTCCAGAAACCATTTTACGATAACTTGTGTGCTCAGTGTCATATTTACTGGCAATAGATTGATTCTAAATATAAGGACATAAAAAGTCTCACTCATTCAATAGTTGAACCCACATTGTTCAGACATGACTTTTAGGCGAAACAAATAAATAAACTTTTGATTATCACCCAACAACAGCTAAGTCATATTCAGATGACCGCAAGTATCTGTTATTTTTAAACCTACGTAACTTCATGCAGCAAGTAATGTCTGACCTCACCAACAAACTTTCTGTAGTATCAGGATATGATTAACTGACTTATCTAATTCGGATTTTTTTATACGCCCTTCTCCCAAAGTGTTCTCGGAGTTGTTTATTGCTGTGAGAAATGATCAAGACTACAT